GAGAGAGAGAGAGAGAGAGAGAGAGAGAGAGAGAGAGAGAGAGAGAGCTTCAGTGTCCGATCCTTCCGGGGCTTGAGCTACAGGCAGCTGTGAGCTTCCCAACATGGAGGCTGGGAACCAAATTTGGTTCTTCTGCAAGAGCAGTACTAGCTTTTGACTGCTGAGCCGTCTCTCCAGCCCCTGGCTCTGCTCTTTCTGGGAAAGAATAAATGCCTTAATAAATGACTCATGGGTGTGTGTGTGTGTGTGTGTGTGTGTGTGTGTGTCTGTGTCTGTGTCTGTGTGTGTGTGAGACTTTCCCTGCCAACCTTCACTCAGGACACAGGACATTACCCAAGAGCACAGAACTGAGAAGCCCCAATATGGTCGTACTCCAAACTACCTTGGAATCTTTATCATTTCGAATGACATTTCTTGAGCACCCAATAGGAACAGCCCTTTCCTGGCTTCAGGGTTCAATTAGACTTGGTCAAGATGGTGAAAAAGATCACCATAGCAATAGATACCATATGGAATAATTTAATATCAAACCTCAGTTTTCTTACCTGTAAAGTGGGACAATAATAAGACTCCACTGTTAAGTGGTGATGCCTGGATAAAGCACTCACCATGGTGCTTGGAGCACAGCAGTAATAATTTTGTTGTGTCTTAGTCACTGTTCCATGCCGTGAAGAGATACTGTGACCACGGCAACTCTTGTAAAAGAAAGCATTACCTGGGGCTGGCTTACAGTTCAGAGGTTTAGTCCATTCTCACCATGGCAGGGAGCATGGCAGCATGCAGGTGCTCGGGAAGTAGCTCAGAGTTCTACATCCGGATCTACAGGCAGTGGGAAGAGCGAGAGAGCCTCTGTGCCTGGCCTCGAAGCCCACCCCTAGTGACACACTTCCTCTAACAAGGCCGCACCTCCTAATCCTTCTAAGTAGTGCCACTTCCTCATGAGCCTATTCGGACCATTTGTGTTGTTTGTTTTTTGTGTTTTGAGACAGGGTTTCACTGTGTAACCCTGGTTGTCCTGGAACTGTGTAGACCAGGCTGATCTCAAACTCACAGAGATCCAACTGCCTCTGCCTTCTGAGTGCTAGGATTAGAGGCGTGCACCACCACTGCCCAGTGCAGGCCAATGTTATTCGACCACTGTAGCAGGCTTTCTCTGGGCCACCAACCAGCTCCCAAATCATGACATGGAGACTTGTTACTAGTTATGAATGCTCAGCCTTATCTTAGGCTTGTCCCACTGGCTCTTATAACTTAATTTAACCTGTTTCTCTTCATCTACATTTTGCCTCGGGGCTTTATACCTTTCTTTCCTTCTGTATGTTCTACTTTTCCTGCTTCTTTTGTGGCTGGCTGGCCCCAGGCATCTCTCTCTCTTTCTCCCTCATTCTCTCTTTCTCTCTCTCAAGCCTAAATTCCCCCTCCTACTTATTCTCTCTGCCCGCTAGCCCCACCTATTCCTTTACTGCCCAGCTATTGGCTGTTCAGCTTTTTATTAGACCAATCAGGTGACTTAGGCAGGCAAGGTAAAACAGCAACACATCTTTACCTAGTTAAACAAATGCAACACATCTTTACAAAGTTAAACTAATATTCCACGACAAACCACCACAGGTATAGCCATTTCATCCTTCAAACATTGACTGCCAGGCTTAGTGGCTCACATCTGTAATTCCAGCACTTGGGAGGCACAGTCAGGAAGATTAGCACGGGTTTGAGGCTAACCTAGTCTACATAGTGACCTAGTCTACATAGTGAGTCCCAGAGCTATACAGTGCAACCTTATCTTAAAAAAAAAAAAAAAGCCGGGCAGTGGTGGCTCACACCTTTAATCTCAGCACTCAGGAGGCAGAGGCAGGTGGATCTCTGGGAGTTTGAGGCCAGCCTGGTCTATAAAGTGAGTTCCAGGACAGCCAAGGCTACACACAGGGAAACCCTGTCTCAAAAAAACAAACAAACAAAATGTCCCTTTGGAGGGTGTGTGTGGAAAGGCTCATGAAATTCACAAGAAATAAAAATTCAGCAAACTTCTGACAGACTCTGAGCTTCTTGGCTCAGGTCACATAAACAGCAAAGATTGCTGGGGAGAGGAGACCCCTCAGTGTTGTGATGCCTGCCAGCTGTGCCAGGGATTTTCCTTAAGTTGTCATCCATGAGTGGGTGGGGCTTTTCGTGGTGATGAAACAGCCCTAGGCTTTCCCACTCTAGTAGGTAACCCCGCACCCAAGCTCCTGTAAGTAACTAAAGCAAATAACCAAAGGAGACTTGGATAGATCTTTTTTTTGGGTGTGTGTGTGTGTGTGTGTGTGTGTGTGTGTCTATCCCCGCCCTCTCTATTTGACTAGAAATAGACTTCCTAGGCATGCAACAGTTTGGTAGAGAGGATGTTCTGGAATGCCTGGGAACCTTAAGGAAAAGGATGGCTCAGGATCTGGGTTGGAGAATGAGTGGGGGAAGAGTCAGTTAAATGACCCCCAGACCTTTCATTTGCTCTTCTAACAGAGCAAATGGTCCTTAAGGTGGTCTGCTTGTTTTTAAGACAGGGTCTCACTGGGAGGTGGTGGTGCCCTTTAATCCCAGCACTCTGGGAGGCAGAGACAGGTGGATTTCTGTGAGTTCGAGGCCAGCCTGGTCTACAGAGGAAGTTCCAAGACAGGCTCCAAAAGCTACACAGAGAAACCCTGTCTTGAAAAACTCACTATACAGCCTTTCCCCTCTGAGCTGTAAACCCTTGAGAGCCCGGCCTTCATCTGATTATGTACCAACGTGCCTGCCTCTTACATTAGGCGCCTCAGAGAATCCGTGGAGCTAATGAATGGGGTGTAGAAAAGCATGGCAGATAATGGATGTTTGTGGATCTCTTTCCCTCTTTCAAGCTTTCACGCGTCGCTGAGGCAGCCTGCTAGCTCAGAGCACAGATCCGGACTGGAAAGTTGTGCTTCTAGTAACACACACCCAACTATCCTGATAGTTGTGACCTTTTCAGCTTGAGGTGGTGAGATGCCAGTGACCTTGATGGCATTAGGTCGGCCATCTCCTGTGCAAGTCCTTACAGGCTCAGGTGGGTCCATTTCCCGTGTCTCCTCCTGGGGTTGTAGCTGATTTTATGACCAGTTTTCATTAGGATCTTTTGGGGGAACCCGACGGTTTTGTTTTTGCCTCTTGGTCAGGAATCACTGGACTGTTTTGGGAGAAGACATGGCGAGGGGTAGAGCGCACACAACAACACCGAGTCGCAGGAAAGAAATCTGAGTTCTTTTACTCTGTCGTCTTCTTCTCCCCCAAACCCTATGAAGGCGGCAGGGAGATTTTCTTCATCTTGCAGATACAGAGAATGAACTTGAGAGCGCTTAAGCGATTCGCTCAAGGTTACTCCCCTCGTCCATGCAGAGGCGGGAGGCGGGATTCGCATCCAGGTTCTTCAGACTCCAAAGTGGCACGGGTGGTGGGTGGGGCGAGAGGCCGGGCCGGACTGGGGGCGCCTGGAGCCCGCGGAGCCCAGCGAGGGAGCGCGCGGGAGGCCTCTCCGGCCCA